CTGCGCAACACAGTCATCCTCCACGTTTCCCATCGCACAGGGTGACTTCTTACACATCCAGTGTCAGGACAGGTCCCGCCTAGGTTTCCAGAAGGACAGTCTTGTCCATGCTCCCCTGGGCTCTATAGATCAAAAGGTAGGAATGTCTCCATTTTAGCCTAAGGGCTCTGGGTCTATTCCGTTGATAGCTGCAAGTCTGTGCAGGAGACTCTGCACTGGCCACATGATGCCAGGACACGGGGCGGCTGCCAATTCGGATGCAAAGGAGCTTTGGCCTTCCGTGCTTGCCCAACTCCCGGCTTCTCCTCTCGCCTGGGACATGACTCCTTTTGCTTCCTGATGGCTGGTGAGAACGCTCACCTCTCCAGAGAAGGAACCTGCCCGGTCTCCCTTTAGGGCAGGACTGGGAGGGCAGGTGGGTGGAGGTGAGGGGAGCCCAAGGCCGTGCCGCCTATCGTCTGGCAAACTCTGGTGGGAACATCACTGAATGACGGCCATGGAAGGTCACCAGTCAACACTGACACCCACAACGACAGGCAGCATCTCCCCACCAGCGTCCTGAGACGGAACGGGACAGGGTGGCTAAGTACAGTGGGCTGGAGGTCGGGGCTCCTCTGGGAGCTAGAGCCTCGGTCCCCAGCCCTGCTCTGCCTTGGGGAGGAGGTGCAGACTCTGGCCTTCCTGAGCCCACCGGCTGGAGCCTGAGCCCAGCTCCCCTGCCTCTGTCACACGGGGGCACCTCCTGCCTCCGCCTCCTCACTTGAGCCCCTCCCCCCTTTCCCAGAGAAGAGGCTTGCCACTGAGTGCCGGTGACACCCAGGACCACGGATGGGCTATGCAACCCCCCAGCTGTGCAGCTCGAGGAGGGACGTGGCACTGGCCTGAGGAGCTGTGAAGCTGGGGCTGTGGGCGAGGCCGCGGCCTCATCTCTTGGGGCCGCAGAGCCAAGAATGGACTCCCATGGAACTCGCCCGTCAGACCTGCGCCCTGAAAAAGGCGTGAGGGTCTACAGTGGCCACACTATCAAGGGGACGCCATCCAGGAAGCCAGCAGAGAGAGGCCGGCCGTTTTCCCGGCCTGCAGCCTGGCTGGGCCATAGGGTAGGGCTGCTCCCCTCTGAGTCTCTCTCCAGGGCCAAGCACACAGCCTCGCACAGGATGCAGGGGAGGCCAGCGCCAGGGCAGGCTCCAGGCTGGTGCTGCGGGGACGCGAGACCCCGCGGCAGGCGGCCCAAGGGTGCCCTGTGGGCCAGCAGCTCAGCCACCACCCAGCTGTGCTCCTAGAGGGAGACTCACCTTCCGCCACCCAACGTACCATTGGGTCGGATGCAGATGAGAGGTCCTCTTTCTAGTTATTCTTCATGGACCTCACAGCTTTCCTAAGAGGACGACTCACTGCCACGCCACAAGCCATGCGAGGTGTGGAGTAGCGGCAGCAGGGCCACCCGTCCACGGCCACTTACGGGAGCAGAGGCTCTCGCGCCCGGGCGTGTGTTGGGGGGTGCAGACGAGACCGTCTCAACAAAATCCACGCTCAAACTCAACCCTCCAGGGGACAAGGTGAGGAAAAAAGGGTCTTCCAAGCTGCTCACAAGATTCCGGAAGCCCAAGAAGTGGGCTCAGCCAGGGCAGCAAGTCCGCTGGCTAGGGACGCCTCAACCACAAAGCGCTCCTTGCCCACAAGCATGTGTGCACACGCGAGAGCCCGCCCCACTCCAGGGAGGTGCAGGACCCCAGTGCTCCCGAGAGGTCCCCACCTCCATGGTGGAGCCGCTGGGCTTGGAATTCGGACACGGGCTCCCAGCACCTGAGCCAGTTTACAGCCATGCAGACTCCTCACAAAACGCCCCTGACCACGCCAGAGGGACCAGCACTGAGGCCAGACTCTGCGAACCAGGCCACATCTCACCAGGCGACCTCAGACAGAGGAGGCCCAGAGACTTGCCCATCCTCCTGAGGTTGGCAGCACGTCCTGAAGCATGTCCCCAGCCCACCTGCAGAGGCAGCAGGTGGGAAGAACCAGGGCCCAGGGAGGCTTTTCTCAGCTGTACATCTTGGGAAGAGCCAGATGCAAACGGAGGCTGGAATGCAGAAGCCAAGGGCACCCTCATGGAGGGGAAAGACTTCCCGGCCCAGGTGCCGGAGGCTAGGACAGGCTGTGTTTGCTTCAGCGCTTGAAGAAAGCCAGGCCTGTATCAGCGCGATTCAGGAATAAATGAACCAGTCCCGACACAGCTCTGCTTCCAGGACTCGGGGTCACCGAGGCTCGTGGCTGCTGTTCCCCAGTCAGGGAAGCCCAAGGAGCTCCTGTCGCAGGCTCTAGCCGGCTCTCAGTGTCACACGAGGCCCTGCTCGTGCTGCCAGCGGGAGAGGCCACCGCGAGGGCCATTCTGCCCTCAAAGACAAAGCCGTGTGTCCCTCGCAGCATCGCTGAGAGCCAAGGAGGATGACACGGGATCCAGTGGCCGGTGGGTCGCCATCTGCTCGGCCCATTCCAACCTGGGGCAAGCTACTGGCTAGCCTCTCTGCGCCTCAGTCTCCTCACCCGTAAAAGAGGCCACGGAGGACCTTCTCCTCCACAGAGCAGCCACAGTGAGTTCGTGGAGGCCCAGCGCACTCGGCCCGACACCTGCAGAGAGAGCAGCTCCGAGGTGTGGGGAGAGCAACTGCCTGGCACCTGGCGCGCCAGGGCCCAGTGCGGACCCCCAACCCGGCCAGCCGCTTGAGCCTCAGATCCACCTGGGTGTTCTCCTCAGCCGCGTTCAGACCTGCGGGGCCCAGACGCCAGCACTCCGCAGCCCAGAACCCCTGAAGGAGGCCAAACAGACGTGCAGGTGGGCGGCGGCCTGCGCCAGCGGCTTCCCACAGGGAGAGGCGCACACACTGGTGCCAGCACATTCCGGCCGGCTCCTTCACCGCAGGCCACGTGGCGCATCTGAAACGGGGTCAGTTCCCGAGTGGGCAGCGCAGACACCACCGCCACGCCTGTGGATCTGACCCCAGTCCGCCACCCCCACCTGAGGCAGCAGGAAGCCAGAGCCCCAGAGGCCGGCCAGTCAGGAGATCGTGCGGGAGGAGGAGGGGCCGATTTGCTTCCCAACCACGGCCGGAACAGGCAGCCGGCACTGAGCCCCTCAGAGTGCAGAGTCAGCCCTCCGAGATCCGGCTAGGTCTCGGTCTGCAGGGAGGAAGGCTGATCCCAGGGGCCAGTCTCCGGGCTCCTACTGTCCACCTCGGTACCGGACAGCTCAAGCCAAAGGACAAAGACCGTGCCTGCCCAGTCTACCAACAGCCCGCGCCAGGACCCACGCCCCAGCGCCCGAGTCTGGAAACCCAGAGCCCCGTGCCCCTCCAACGTCTGGGGGCGCGGCCAGGGAGCAAGCACTCAGGCCTGGCCCGGAGGCACAGTGGGCAGGGAGCGCATCTCTGCAGGATCCCACGCCCTCTTGCCAGAAATCCTGGCCTTCGGGGGCGGAGACTGTTTCCGGGCCACGGGCCGTCTGCTGGAAACTCTGAGCCTTCTGGTGCCCTGGAGCCCCTCAGTGCCAACGAGGCCCAGAGCGAGAGGCCCAGAGCGGTACCAGGACGAGCCTGTCCCGGACTCGCTCTCTGCCCCACGCCTGCCCCCAGGAGGCCTCGGCTGGAGCCACCATGCATCCCTGCAGCTCCTTCCCTGCTCGTCGCAATTCTGAGGCACCTCCAAGGCTCACCTCCTGTTCTTCCTCCTCCGAGATGCCCTCCCTGACACTCCCTAACGACTCCAGATTGTGCTGGCCAGTCCCTTCTGTAGTGACTGAACCACCACCAGTCCAGGGCCACAGCCAGTGGCTGGAACTAGACTCCGCAGCCGCAGGCACGGCCAGGTGCTTGCCATCAAAAGCGAACTGCTTCCCTTGCGCTCCCAGGAGGAAGGGTCCATGCACCGCAGAGGGCCCCCAGGTCTGGCCTCCCACAGGCCAGTGTGCAGTATAGAGCTGGGGTCTCACTTTGCCGCCCAGGGGGCAGAGCAGTGGCTCAATTATGGCTCGCTGCGGCCTCCACCTCTTGGCTCAGGTGTTCCTGCTGCCTCAGTCGCCCAAGTAGCTAGGACTAAAGGCACGTGCCACCACACGGGCTAACTCATTTAGTTTTAGTAGAACGAGGTCTTATTATGTTGCCTGGGTTAGTCTGGAAGTCCTGGGCTCAAGAAATCCTCCCACCTTGGCCTCCCAACAGTGCTGGGATTACAGGCGTGAGTCACCGTACCCTGCCCAATAAAGACTGCTGAGAAGAAGGCTGGGCCACTGGGTCTGGTGGGATAGGATGACCCCCTTTTAGCCTGGACAGGCTGGGCTCCTGCTCTGGCTGCCGCCCCTGGGGACCCCTGCCAGCAGCTATTCCCAAGAGCTGCCCCAGAACCAGGGTGGGGTATCCCAACCCCAGCCCTGCCTGCGTGTCCCCTATCAGAGGAAGAGAAGCTGGCAGGAAGCAGATCTGACCTACAGGGTGGCCGCCATCTCTCCTGAGGGCTCAAGGGGCCCCCGGACAGCAGGCAGAGGCCTGCCAAGGACTTCCCTTCCCCTCCCCGGGCCCCAGGGAGGTGAGACAGGAAGAGGGCCTCCTAGCAGGCGTCCCGCATGGGGCTGGCCAGACAGGGAGGCCCCCGGGCGGCAGCTATCACCGAGACCAGGCTCCAGGAAGGAAGGAAGGGCCACTCTCTGAGCTGTGATAAGGAGGGCCGTGTGCACAAGGGGCTCCCACAGGCTACAGGCCCACGTCAGGCCGTGACCCAACCGGCCCCGTCTGTTCACACAGCCCGAGTCAGTGTCGAACGAAGTTTGTATTCACGGCCATTGGGCCCTCACAGGCCCTCCCTGTGGCCACAGATCCGTGTGCCCCAGACCAGGCCTGTCCTAGCCCAGAGGCCCTGGCCCACCCGCAAGGCTGTGGGCACTGTTCTCTCATGCAACCCATAGGGACAAAACCATCCTCTTGTTCCAGCCCTGGGGCCCGGGGACTCACGGAGCCCGGTCATGGGTGAGGCCATTCTGCCGCTGAGGGTTGATGGGCGGAAGGACAGGCTTGCTGTTGATCTCGAGTCCTCTCCTCAGCGTCTCCCGGATCTGCTCTGTGTCTGCAATGACACCACTAAGCTGCCCGATGGCCCCCCGGGCTCTCAGCCACACCCCCTTGCCCTGAGACCTGGCTCAGCAGGTGTGCTGGGAAAGCCACCAGCTGGTCGGTCCTGGCCGCTCCAGACAACCAAGCATGGAGACACCCACCCTCGGGAACCCCTGGGTCTGAAGCGCACCATCCTGCAGAAGACCAGGGCGGCCTCTGGATTCCAGAAGCGCTCTCCACTGTCCTTTCCTTCTGTGTCACAGGCCCAGAGTTTTCCCTAAACACGGCCCTGACAGTCAGGGATCCTGCCGGAAATGGACACGAGAGGCCTGCAGGTGCCTGCCATGACTAGGCAGGCGCCTCTTCCACGCCCCTCGGGGCTCTGAGTGGTCAACTCGTGCCTGGCCCTGTGACCCTTCCTCTTGGGCTCGGGTCAGTGCGGTGCTGGGCTAGTCCTCCCCTTCGGCTGGCTCCAAGGAGCTCTGCCCCTCCACAGAGCCAGAAGGGTCTGGGGTGGAGGGGGTCTGGGTGGGAATACTCACTGGCAAGGGGCCTTGCCAGTCTCTGGGGGGAGGCTCACCAGTGTGGTCCCTACTGTGAGGTTTCCAGCTAAGATTTCCTTCCTTTTTTTTTTTTTTTTGAGTTGGCGTCTCACTCTGTCGCCCAGACTGGAGTGCAGT